TGATTGAAATGCCAAATTACCTCCAGGACACAAGCCTACCCGTCTAGTAGAAACCGTAAGTAGGTGAGTGCCGAAAGGCAGGAGACAAAAACAGCACTCCAGCGGTGGCAGACTCTCACGGTGGTTGCGTGCAGGCAAGCATGAGTCGTCTGCCCCCCGAAAGACAACGGAGACGGACGCGGGGGTGACTCACTGCACAGGCAATTAGAGTCCGTTCTACTGCTCTTTGCTGCTGCTACTACCGCAGAAGCGCGCACGAAAAGGCCGTCCTCTAAGCCAATGCGAGAACACGCAATCCTGCCATTAGCCACGTTGGGAGTGATTACAATATGAAGGTGCAAACCGGGCAATAAAATGATCCCGGCGCATTCAATGGGCGAAGAAAAGGTCCGGAAAGGCTAGTTGGGTGGTTATGTCTGGTTGTATTGAGGTGTCCTCGCGCGTCGAGGTAAATATTGTCAGTGACAAAGACAACGGCAACCATGAACGGGTCGAGTCAGCACGGAGGCATTCCCAAAAGTTCAATTTGAGGAGATCCTGGTGGGTAAGTGGCGATGACAGCTTCTACCCAATCCCCTAATTTCCTTCTGATAACTTAGCCCGTAGGTTCGTCTAATCTCACTATAGTTGGGTTACTATTGCTTCACTAAGAACGCAGCTTCACCATACCACCGGCACGTGTACTAACTAAAAGCCCACATAAGTGGCCTGCAGGTCCCGGACGTAAAAAATGCGATTTTCAATACGCCGCAGTATTGAAAGGCCATGTAAGCGCCGATTTACCTTTGTAGGTACATTGTATAACTGCAATCAATGTTTTCCGGGCTTCAGTTTCTGACTGTTATTGCACTGAATGCAGTGCTCAGTCGCAGACCATAAATGCTCCTACAAATAGGCATCGCACATAGTTCGTGTAATGACAGCTAGTCTGATATTTCTAATGAGACCCGCCTCCCTGAGGAAAGCGAACGTCACGTGATTTAATCGGCAGAGAGGACAGCTTGCGCAGTATCGACCTCAATCACCCCCCACTTCCCAGCATCTTCCGATGACAAACTTGAAGCCACATGACTCGTGGTGGTGGTGATGTTGACGAAAACCTAATCGTGTCATACACGTGCTGTCACCTAAACTGAACATGAGTTCACACATACTCGAATATCCACAAGTTGACATAGAAGTCATATGAAAACGAAGACATCGCAGTTTGGTTCTCGGCTTCAGAGGATGCAGTCATTCCGGCAACCCTACATCTCAGAACTTTAAGTGCTCCCTGCTGCACGTCCTTTGATCTGAAGGGAAGAAAAAAGGTGGCGCTGCTACGATTGTGTTCCAATGACAAGCCTGTCGAGGTGAGACAAGGGGCAACGGTCGACCGGATGCACTTCCAACGTGCTCGCACGACAATCTGTTGCTAGCTGCACTTCACAAAGGGATAAGACTGCAACCAAGCTGCCCGCCTGTAGTTAACGGGATGCCTCGCTTTTGATCGCCCTAGTTTTAAATTGGCAAATTTTAATAAACAGATCCTTTACAGAAACAGAATTACACGGACGCATGTGAAATCTGCTAAGAAACAAAAGATAAATGGTATAAGGAAGAAGTAGCATAAGTATCACTTCTACGGTTTTGGACGGCGCGGCCAGTGGGCGCAACATAAAACGTACAATTGAGGTAAATGTTCGCATCCTAGATAGGTATATAGATAGAGATCACCAGAATCGTAATTTTATTCATCTGCGCTTTCGAATTTAACTTCGCAGCTGCGAGGATAATCGCCCACGCCGGCAACGAGATAAGCCGAGAATTGATTGAAGCCTGGGCTTCGGATGAGAACTCAGTCAATCGATTTATCGATCTGGCACCGGCACGCATCACCCTGTGCAGGCATCTCCGGACTGACGTCAATTGTGTTTGATTTTTCCCCTGCTCCCTATACCTGTGGCTCGTTTTTCTTTGACGCCTTTATCTCTGATGATGGACTCCAGTAAGAGCCCGAAAGCTCAGACGAATAAAATTATGATTCCGGTGATCGAGACGCCTTCTCCTTCTCTATCTATAAAATGTAAAGTTACGCAATTCAATAAA